AAATAAATTATTAATAAATAAAATTATATTATATTAGAATATAATTTATTTATCAAAAATCTAAAATATAATTTATATATTTAAAAATATCTATTTATATAAATTTTAAATATAATTTATATATTTAAACATAATATTTATTTGTATATATAATTTATTATAATTTTTAGTTATATACAAATTATACAATAAATATTAGGCTAAAATACTAGTTTTACTTTAAATGGGATTCACCTTATCACATTATTTTCAAGTAATTCACATTATATTTTTCAAATTTTACTTCAATGATGAAATTTTATAAGCAACTAACACTTTTTATAATTTTTTATTCATTTAAATTTTTTGATAATTTAAAATTAATGTAATTATTAAAATTAAATATTAATTTAATTAAACATAATAAATAATATTTTTTTATTTGTAAGAGTAATTTATATTCTCAACAATGATATACATTTAAGAGTTATAGCTTATTTTTAAGCAATTTTCTATATTACACTACAATTACAAATTACTAATAAATACATTTAGTTATCGGTAAGATATATTACAAATATTTTATGTTAGAGATGTTCTAAGAATGTAAATTAATAATTATATTAGTTTAAAATTAAGAATTGTGTAATTAAAATAATATATATATATATATATATATATATATATTTAAAGGTTTTAAATTATAGTAAATAATTAAACTAATAAACTTATTTAGTATTTTAAATACTAATTTTTATAGTTTTTAATTTCAAAAATTAATATGAAAATATTTTTTAAATCAAGGATTTCAATTGGATGTTTACCCAATTTTCACATCTTTCCATGCATACTCAAAAATACTTTTCACAAAAAAGTGCTTCAAAATTCAATCAATTAAAAATAATAATTACTTTAGTTAAAATATTTTATATACTTATTTTTATATATATATTAATTATAATTACAACAATGTTTTTAAGGGATAATTGCAACAATTATTTCATATTAAAATTTGGCTTGTGTGGTTCTCCCAGCCCAAAACACGTCGCCCAAAAAAATGGAAGATACGTTCGCCGAAAACAATGGAGGAGGATACGTTGATCGCCGAAAAAAATGGAGGTGGAGGATTCGTTTTCTTGGACTGGCGTTAAGTGAAGTGCGGAATGCGAAAATAAATGCCACGAACACTCTATCTCTTTCTTTCTTTCTCTGTCAGTCACCAATGTGCCCCTCTTCTTTCCATTACAGGAATAAGAACTGTTCGACGAAATGCCCCAACCATGCACTTCCTCACCGCATTCTCTTCTTCTCTTCTCTCGCCCCATTTGACCAGTTCGCTCCTCTGCCCCCCTCTTTACTTCTGCTCCGCCTCGACCGGGAGGCTGCGCCGGTTCGCGCTTCTCAAAGAACCGGGTTCGCTTCTCAACTGTTACAAGGGTTTGTGCTGGTCCTGCTCCGGGTTCTTGCGGTGCTGCAAGGATTGGGAGGGCGAGTTCTCCTCTCTGGAGTCCCAGATTTTGGAGTTCATGCAGGGTTCCGATAAGCCTGGAGTGTTTCCCACAAATGAGGAGTTGGTTGCTGCAGGGAGGGTGGATTTGGTCAACGCTATTGTTAACGAAGGAGGGTGGCTTGCGTTTGGGTGGGATTTGAATGATGGGTTGGGGGAAATTCGCGGTTTTGAAGATAGGGGTAGTTCTGGGGTTGCTTCTTCTTCTTCTTCTCGAACGGATGGTTCAGTGTGAGAATCCCGTTCTAATGATGCACCTCTCCTCTTCTTTTTTTTGCTTTTTAGGGCTCTGTTTACAGCTTTCCCGTGTTTCTGGATGTTTGGAATTTCTCGTGGTAAAGATTAAAGTGTTCCTTTTCTTGATGTGTAGGGGAGATTCGAGGGCCACACATGGGCTTTGGATGTTTGAATTTGGAAATGTTGTGCGCGATTTTAATCTTGCAGCTTGATTCTAGCAGGATGGATGGAAGGGAGGAGTGACTTGAAAGATATAGACGAAGCTTGGGGGGATTTTACTGCATAATTATAAGGCCTTCAATGTTGTTATGGAACTGGATGTTGGGTGATGCAAAACCAACGAGATAATAAATTCAATGTAGAAGAAATAAGAGTGTTGCTTTAGATGAGTTGACATACTAGAAGTGGTACGGTTAGGGTGCATTGTAGAGAGTCTGGTGAACCTATTAGAGGAAGGATGGCAGAAGCTTACCGTAGGTAGATTAAGCATGTGTGGAGAAAACATGTGGAAGCCGCCCCAAGTGGGGAAGGTAAATCAAACAAAGGGTAGCCCAATTGCTAGAGGTAGAGGGAGACCCAAGCTATAGGGAAAACCATTGTGTGAGAATTAGGTGACAGTTGTTTCTCTGTAGATATGATTTATGTCGAAACATTATGGTGTCGCTTAATCAATGTGGCCAGTGGGGGAAGACTTTGTTGTTGTTCTTTTAAGTGTTCACTGTTTATTTTTCTTGCCATTGTACTGTTCTGTTCCTATTGCCCAATAGATCAATTATATGTAACTTCAAGTGACCAGCGGTATCCTGAGTGTTACTTTCTGTTATACAGGAAAATTGAAACTGGTGAATCTGGCATTAAGGGTATATTGAATCGGTTGGAGAAACAAAGAAATAGTGTTTTTGGACTTGACTTAATAGAGAAAGAAGATGATGTTTTTAGCGAAAGTAATGAAGATAAAGATGAACGGGATCATAGAACAGCAATGAATGCAGTAAGTAAATATTATCCCCTTCAAATGCTCTGGGCTGTTCTTTAATTTCCATTACTATTTATGTCATATGCCAAAAGTATAAAGAAAAATAAAAGAAAGATATTATTACCTATATTGGAGATCTGGAGCATTTGAATATTGAATTTTTTTTATCTAACTTTCATATTTCCAATGTTTATTCTATTATATATTTCTACCTATTAGTTTAAGCTATAGTTTTAATGTTTAATACCCTGAATCCGAGAATGAATTTTTGAAATATCGCATTTGATGTTTCTCATTATGTTGAAATTTTAAAATATCTTTTTTGGGTATTTCCTGTGTTGTAAAGTTAGCTGCTGGCCTTGAAAAATAAAAGAAAGATATTATTACCTATATTGGAGATCTGGAGCATTTGAATATTGAATTTTTTTTATCTAACTTTCACATTTCCAATGTTTATTCTATTATATATTTCTACCTATTAGTTTAAGCTATAGTTTTAATGTTTAATACCCTGAATCCGAGAATGAATTTTTGAAATATCGCATTTGATGTTTCTCATTATGTTGAAATTTTAAAATATCTTTTTTGGGTATCTCCTGTGTTGTAAAGTTAGCTGCTGGCCTTGAAAAATAAAAGAAAGATATTATTACCTATATTGGAGATCTGGAGCATTTGAATATTGAATTTTTTTTATCTAACTTTCACATTTCCAATGTTTATTCTATTATATATTTCTACCTATTAGTTTAAGCTATAGTTTTAATGTTTAATACCCTGAATCCGAGAATGAATTTTTGAAATATCGCATTTGATGTTTCTCATTATGTTGAAATTTTAAAATATCTTTTTTGGGTATCTCCTGTGTTGTAAAGTTAGCTGCTGGCCTTGAAAAATAAAAGAAAGATATTATTACCTATATTGGAGATCTGGAGCATTTGAATATTGAATTTTTTTTATCTAACTTTCACATTTCCAATGTTTATTCTATTATATATTTCTACCTATTAGTTTAAGCTATAGTTTTAATGTTTAATACCCTGAATCCGAGAATGAATTTTTGAAATATCGCATTTGATGTTTCTCATTATGTTGAAATTTTAAAATATCTTTTTTGGGTATCTCCTGTGTTGTAAAGTTAGCTGCTGGCCTAGAAAAATAAAAGAAAGATATTATTACCTATATTGGAGATCTGGAGCATTTGAATATTGAATTTTTTTTATCTAACTTTCACATTTCCAATGTTTATTCTATTATATATTTCTACCTATTAGTTTAAGCTATAGTTTTAATGTTTAATACCCTGAATCCGAGAATGAATTTTTGAAATATCGCATTTGATGTTTCTCATTATGTTGAAATTTTAAAATATCTTTTTTGGGTATCTCCTGTGTTGTAAAGTTAGCTGCTGGCCTTGAAAATAGTAGTAGAGCGTCCTCATTGAGCCCTACAAGCACTCATCTCAGTGGTTCTCAGATCAAACATGATCAGCATGGATTAGGTTCTGAAAATTTAAGAAACTCGCATGAGCCACAGATGTGGAGAAGATGGATTATTCAGAGAACTGGTGTTTCGGATGCAGATTTTGAAGGTAATCTTGTTTACATTTTTAGGTTGTGTCTTCATAATTTGAAGTTGGATTGTTGTAGTTGGGATCAACTGATATCTTCATAATTATGATATACAGATGCTGAAATTGTTCCTGGTGAAACTCAGAAAGGAGGCATCAGTGGTGCTTCCGGACAACCTGATATCCTCAACGGAAGGGAGCTTTCTTCTGAACTTAAAAACAAAGAAACAGGATTATATTCTCTTGATGGAAATGCAAATAACAATGACATTAAATCCCGTATACAGCATCTGAAATCGGAGCTATCTTCTGTTCTTTACTTGTTGAGGTCTAGCACAGATATAACTGCAATGCAGACGGTGAGTGTGTATAATAAACTAGTAATGGAACTTGTCAGTGAATTACCCCAACAAAAAGAAAAGAAAAAACACAAGATTTACCTATTTGATGACCTGTGAGTTGCAGTTGGCTATGATCTTACTATTTTTTTATTGGTGGGGAGTTTCTTATTTACAAATTATTCGAAATAAACAACAGTGAAGTATATCCAATATTTGATCTCATTTATATCTTTTCTATACTTTGCAATAAGTTAGGACCTGACCGGTATGTATTATGAATAGAATTTGCTGCCACTTCTATTTTTGAGGGCAGAGGGGAATTTCACTGTTCGACGTGTTTTAGGCTGGGAGAACCACACAAGCCAAGGGAGTCAACAAAGGATACAAACACAATCTGTTTATCTTTCATCTTATAATAACATATTATACATCAAGAAATTGAATGTTACTAAAACTATGCATTAAGCCTATCCAATATGATTCATAAAAAAGAAACTTAATTGATGCTTCTCTTCTATCCAAAATCTTTTATTTTTTTGGGCATCTCCCTTTATCTCTTGGGTCTTAGTATGGACTTACAGATATGTTGTATGTGTGCATTGACGGGTGTTAGCAAGGAGTTTCACAGGCTCTGTGGGTTGATAAATTGAGAACAATTAAGATACTGAACAGTTGTTTAAGTGATTTAATTCGTGTAGGTAGAGCTAATAGTTACCACAAATTTAGTTTTATTTACTGCAAAGAATCTTGGTGAACGGTCCTCTTTCAGTAGAATAGTTTTTCATTTATCGTTAATTGTCTACATTAATATTAAGGCCTTTCCTTGGGATCCTATGCTAGTCCTGATCAGCTTGCTGTATGTTCTTGAATAGGACCCAAAGCACTCTTCTGATAATCTAGCAAAGCTTTCCAATGCTTGGGAATTCCAGGAAAATGAGATGATAAATGCTCAGGACAGGTTGCGTTCTATTCGGGCCAAGTTGGCTGTGTTAGAAGGAAATATGGCACTGGCAATAATGTATCCCCAGACACCATTCAATTATTGTGTCATATATTCATAGATAACATAAATCTTGACAATATTCATTTCTCCCAGGGATGCACAGAAAGTTGTTGAAGAAAAGCAGAAGAAGATTAATAATGCTCAAAAAGCTTTGCAAATGCTAAAGACTACTTGTGTAATTTGGCCAAATAAGGCCGAAGAAATATTTTTAACAGGATCATTTGATGGTTGGTCCACCAAGGTCTACTCTCCTTCCGAGAACTTTTTAATTGTTAAAGTGGATGTTAAAACAAATATGTTCAAAATATTTTCAGCAGAAATAAATTTTATAAAATAAAAAACATGTTTAACAAATATAACAAAAAAAAAAAACAGTTTGTGTTTTTCTCTTAAAGCTAGAAAGAGTATATTCTGAAAAAGAATAAAAGGTATAAAAAATTATATCCTGTTTTACAATATATCGTTTGTGTGAATAGATGTAGTAAAACCATTCATATGCCGCCACCACTTTCTCAAAGTTTCATGGTTCTCACCTTAGCATGGGTTTCATACCATTTAATGCCTTTCGCATGGGTCACGGACTCACGGCACACGCACAACCTTGCTCAAGGATAAACCACTTAGGATTTATGCGTACAATATGGCTTAAGGATTCATTAACCACTATTTTTTACCTGATAGGTCTGCCTGTGTTATTTATCTAGGATTCGGTCAATTGGGTGGTTGATTGATAAAAATTATATTGGTTTCCTTTTTGTCTTTTGTATTTTGCTAAATCAAATCTGATCTGGAATGACGGAATGCATTAAGTAAGCATAACTATATTTTTATATAGATTCCCGGGATGCTTTTCAGATTACTTATATTGAGCACATCAGACGTAAATACATAAAATATTTAGCAAATAGTAATTATATTGCAGAGAAAGCTGGAGAAGTTAAGTAGTGGTATATTTTCTGTGAACTTGCTGCTGTATCCCGGAAGATATGAGGTTAGTTGTATTTTATCTTGTAATGATGTCTTAAACCTGTAGATGTAGTGCCCATTATGAAACACGTAGCAGACATTTTAATTACTTGTTTTTCTGTTGCAGATGAAATTCATTGTAGATGGAGAATGGAAAGTTGATCCGTTACGCCCTGTTGTTACCAGCCATGGCTATGAGAATAATCTTCTCATCATTAGTGATTGATGTAACATAGAGTTAGCATGAGATAATGTTTGTAAAACATAGAAGATGATGACATGCTCTAGGTTAGTCACCAATTTTTTCCCCCATTTTTTCGCTTTTGTACAAAATATTCGGCGAGTAGTTCATTGATTCTTTTACAAATTTTTTACCGAAATAATATTATTTTAAATTTTTTATATCTAAATAGTAATTGCGAATTTATTTACCAGACTAGTACTGTTTACTATTCACGTTTAGAACGGGTCGTTCTGATATCAGAACGGGTCGTTCCAGATTTAAAATTAAGATATGATCAGTGGAACCAAAATAGGTCGTTCTGAATACGGAACGGCCCGTTCTGGCCACTTATGGGTCGACATATGGAACAATAGTCGTGACACAGATAGGAAATAGATGAAATTGACCATGTACCATTCCATATATTCTCGTGTTTGAAACAATGAGCCTTGCATTGGAAGACCCATCAATGTGTGTTCACGTTTATTGTTCCATATGTCAGCTCATCAGAAGTGGCCAGAATGACCCATTTCGGATTTAGAACGGTTCGTTCTGATTCCACTGATCATGTGTTAATTTTGAATCTAAAACGGTCCATTGTGATATCAGAACGGCTTGTTTTGATCCATTCATCATGTGCTTTTTTTTACATTTGGAACAGTCCGTTCTGATATCACAATGGCCCGTGCTAAACGTGAATAGTAAACGGTACTAGTTTGGTAAATAAATTCACATAATTGCTATTTGGGTAAATTTTTTCTAAAATAATATTATTTCGGTAAAAAAACTCTTCTTTTACTTAGTCCTTGTACCACTTTTAGAAGTAGATAGCTTGATTGTGTCCAACTAATCCCATTCAATTATTTTTAACATGTTCATGTAATTGTGTCATAGCATGTTCTATCATAGTCTATAAATTGGAAAGACGTGAATATTTATCCTCTATTTTTCTAAGAGGATCATTCATATTCACTTCCCTTCTTCATAGTTGTCAAATTTTTTAGGCGTCCGTGGAGTCAAGCCTATGGCTTTCCGGAACAATGCATCCTAAATCCAAAATAATATTTCAAAAGCAGAACTTTCTTGGCATGTATCATTCTGTATGCTGACACTGAGGCTTTGTTTGGATTTGAGGATGGAAAATGGGGAGTGGAAAAGGAGGGATTTGAAGGGAAAGTGAATGGAAAGTGAGGTTGTTTGGATTAAGGGAAAGTAAGTGAAAAGTGTAGAGAAAGTTTGTGAAAGTTTGTGAATGAATTGATTGATGTGATAGATAAAAATAAATTTTTTAATTGATAATTGTGAAAGATTACTATTTTGCCCTTAGGTTAAAAAAAGTTTATAATTATTATAATTAAAAGATAAATATATAAATTTTAACTAAAAAAATTATAAAAAATTAATTTAAAAATAAATTAATTTAAATATTTGCTTTAAATTTAATGATAGATAAAAATTAAAAATTTAAGAGATGAATATATAATTTACACTTTTACCCTTGGATTAAAAATGAGTATAATATTATTTATTGTAAATAATAATAATTACAATAAAATTATATTAATAGGTATAATTTATTAAAAAAATAATAAATAATGATAAGAATAATAATAAATATTAGAAAAATAATAAGAATCATAATAAATAATAATGATACTAATTATAATAAATAATAATATTAATATTAATAAAAATGAAAATAATAATATTTATAATAATAAATAATAATAACAAAATATATTATGATAATTATATTTTGTAACATTATTTTATTAATGTTTATGAAAGTGTTATTATTTTAATTTTATAAACATGTATTACTTTTTTTTTTTTTATATTTCCACTTTTTGATGTCAATATTTAAATAACAGAATTTTCTTAATAAAAAAAAATGTACAATAAAATTTTTGAAAGTTAATTAATAAATTAAAAAAATTGATAAATCATTAACATAAATTAGAATGAAATGAAGATACATTTGTTAATTGTACAAGTTAATTTTTACCAATTAAAAAATTAAAAAATTTATAACATTACAAAGTAGATGGGTAATAACATATTTGTAAAATGGAACAGAAAATACAATTCAGTCATCAATTAAGTAAACAATAATTAAATATGACATAAAATAATAGAAAAGAAAAATGTTGCAACTAAATAAAACATATTTAAATTACAATAATAAAAAAGAAAATAAGATAATGTAGTTTATTCAAATGAACTCTAAAAGTCATCAAATTTTTGTTCGAGGTTATCAAGCCTGTTATGTATTTGATTAACATTGATAGTCAAATTATTTAATCCTTCTTGTAACCCTTGAATGCCAGTCCATATTTGGGAAAACATTTGACCATCATACTGGACTGGAGGTTGTTGTGTGATGTCGGCAGGCTGCTCCTCACCATGGTCCTCCGGCATTGCATGGTCTTCATCTTCAACATTTTGGCCATGATGATGATTATCCCTGCCATGTATCCATACCCCGTTGACATTCACGACATTTAATTTTTTCAAGGTATTTTTATTAAAAAAATGTGCCCACCCTAATTCGACTGCAACATCAATTGATAAGTCTACGCCATAAACAGCCAAAATATGTGAAATTAAAATGGGGTATGGAAGAGGCATCCCATTGTCCTTGCATTTGACCATGTGTTGCATGATATAATGGAGCCAGTTGATCAAAATGTTATTTTTTAAGGCCCATAATAGAAAAATGTCTTCTTGCAAAAGTTGGGAAAAGTTACTTGATCTGGGAGCCAATATATGGACCCAATATATGGACGTAGACATAATGTAGGAGTCTGTCGTTAATGTTAAGACTTCCTACATTTATGACATTTCGGCCCTGCAGCTCTAGTCTAATCATAGATGTCAGTGCTATGTGACAGTCGAATTGCATCTCCTCTGGGATGTTTGGAAATGCTAATTTATGCCCCTGATACTTCAAACCAGCCAGAGTTAACCAATCAGATGGTTTTATTTTTATCTTTGTTTTGTTCACGTCACTATAGAGGAAACCAGCTTCAGATACTCTCAAGTTGGAATAGAAGACCTTAATAAGATCTTCAAAGAAATCACATTTGAGAGCCACAAAATGCTGCAAACCTTGATATTCTATATGGTGGTGAAAATACAGCCCTGATGTGGCAAAGTAGCTAAAGTCCATAACCTTTGGATGAAGGACTATCCTGTGGTAAAACTCCTTGCCATATTTAATCATCTGATCACGCTGGCTGAAAAAACGTGTCTGATTTAGAACTTCTTCAATTTGTGGTAATCTAGGACCAGCTGCTCTGTCCGAGGTGGCAGGAGTTTTTCCTTTTCTTTCTTTTGAACTTCTTTTTCTTGAACCGGATGCCATACCTGAAAATTATATATAAAATAACCAATAACAAATATGATGTTAAACATAAGACATATTCCATAAAACATAATTGCAAGTAATAACATTAAAATGTATCTTTGACCATTAATAAATACTTTTATAATATTATGGTCAAGTTTACAATGTTTAAACCATTAGTAAAACATTAAATACAATAACTACGAATCATAAATCAACCACTTTGACCCATGAACTTTAACAATTGGTGAGGCGGAGATGTGGGGGTTTAGGGTTTATATTAATATATAAATTAAATATTAATATTAAATAATTATATTTAAGGTATTATATATTAAATATTAATATTATATATATATATAAAGGGTATTAAATAACCATCATTTAATAACAAATTAATGTGGCCAGAACGGCCCGTTTCGAATCCGAAACGGCCGTTCTGGACTCATTTTCCATGCCTCATTTTCATACCAGAACGGCCCGTTCGGCCCGTTCTAGGGTTACAAAGTAACCCACAAAGGCCATCTATGAAACGGCCCGTTCTAAAAGTGGAACGGCCCGTTCCCAATGTGCAACGGGTCGTTCTGCTTTCGCATATTGCTCATAAAATGCATTTTTGGAACGGGCCGTTCTGGGTTCCACTGGCAGCGAAAATACCCCAGCATAATCGATTATGCTTGGCCACATAATCGATTATGCCTCACCCATAATCGATTATGCAAGGTCATAATCGATTATGTGGCCAACCATAATCGATTATGCTCCTTTGTATATACCAAATGAGATCAAACTTACCTTCAATGGAAGAGCTCCTTCCACAATCAGTCACCAACACGCACCAGCCACGCACCAGCCCCGTTGAGAACGTCGAGAATCAGTCAGCAACACGCACCAGCCCGTCCAGAATCAGTGAGCACACACCACAGAGAGACCTTCGAACTCTCTTATAAACTAATTTCAAACGCGCGTTGTGTCAAGCACAAAGGTCCGTCAACCATGACAGAGATTCCTCTGCTGCATGGCACAGTATGCATGCATGAGACAAGGAGACAGGGGAGGTTCGTGAACCATGGCAGAGATTCCTCTGCTACATGGCACAGTATGCATGCATGGGACAGGGGCATTTCCGGGTTTGGACAAATCCTACGTGGCTTTCTTCTCCTCTCTTCGCTTTTGTGCGAGGACGCGAACCATGCTTCTCCCCCCTTTTCTTCGCCTTTTCGTCGTCGCAAATCGCCGGAAACAAACAACAATTTTCTTCGCCTTTCCTTGCTCGTGAACAGTAAATCCCTGGAAACAAACACTACCTGAAAGTTTAGAACCAAGATGCTGACAACTTTTGACATGCACATATCAAATTAGCATTTAATCAAGTTTAAGAATAATCTAGGGCATGGTTATACCAAACGTGAACCCACTTCCACAGAAAACTCTAATTGATGCAGCTTCATTCAGATCATAATCGAGACTAATTGTAGCAGGACTGATTCGGTCGCAAGTATCCCCTAAACCAAGTTGACTATGCTCACCCCAACCCCATATCTTTATTTCTCCATGTTCTGAAAATAGGAATGAAAAGGTCAGCACTTTTGTGTGATTCTAAACTAGCTTGAGAACAAGACTACATCTTACCTATGACAATGATAGAATGCTCAGCTCCGGTAGCAAAATCAATAATCTTCATCCCATCAAGGCCAGGGACTTTCTCCAAATTGACTTCTCTAAAATCTTATACAATATATATATATATATA